TTGATAGATAATACTCAAGGACACACGACACAGTGGATAAAGGCATTGGTTAGACCCAATGACAGAACCCAAAGAGTGTGAGTTCAATACCTGGTTAAGGCAGTGGAGAACTTGCAGAGGGGAATTAACAGGAGATAACTGATAACTGACATCCATTAAACATGGCACATGGAACTAGAACAGTCTACCCCAGTGAGTGAAATAAAATATATATATATAAAATAAGTTCAACATTCCAACCCCCTGAAGAATGTCGGAGTGTACAACGGCCGAAACGTTGTAATAAATATGGCGACAAAGATAAGGACAATAGTCTGAATAATGTAAATAGTGTACATAATACTTCATCTCAGAAATATAAACAGATATTGACAATACTCGTTTGAAAAAGTAACCACTGAATAGTGATCCATATAGAGAATAGTGATCCGAATAGTAATAGAGGATAGAATAGAAAGAATGATTGTTTAGATGCCATATATACATTTCCTTTATGGTCACATGATCTACTTAATTCAAAATGGGATCACCCCTGTTTGCTCACTGGCGATCTCTGTTCAAATTACAGTGTCAGCGGCAACACTTTACTCCTATACAATACAATGAATGCTGGACAATCTCCTCACAGATGAAGAGACTTGAGGCAACAGAAATGTGGTTCTCCAGAAGGATACTGAGGATACCATGACCTAAACATCTGAACAACAATGAAGTTTTAGATAAAATGATAACAAGAAGGACAATTATACTCAGAAAGAGATAATTGAAATTTTTAGGGCACATAATGACGAAAGAGGACTTGGAGAATTTGACACTCACAGGGCATATTGAAGACAAGGGGAAGAGAGGAAAGCAGCCCATAACTTACCTAGCAAACTTGTGCAAATGGCTGGCAGAACAGGAAAGATAGCAAAATGGCACAATTTATTAAGAGCTACGAAAGAAAGGTAAAGGGACAATATCGTCCACTTGGGCTGAACAAATTTCAACACAGGCCTGACTAAGTCACATTTTTATTATGGCTCTTCCAGATGATCTATAAGGTAAGGACACTTTCCACCAAATCTGCTACTTTGTGGAACAAACCCACACATAGATGCTTCCTTGGAAACTACAATCATAACCTCTTCAAGTCAAAGGTCAGTCATTATTTGTCCCTCTTATTAGTATCATCTTCACTTTCTAGAACTTCCTTACATTCATTTTTACACACTTTAACAAGTGGCTCTTGAACCCTGTATTGGGTTAAGTTTAGTGAAAAAAAAAAGAAATGACCCATAAGGAATTGATATGCCATTAAACAAATAAATTAATCGACCACGCTAGACAGTTAAGCAACAGAGCTTCAAATCAGTATGATTTCTGATTTTCGGCATTGTTGCTTATTTCCAAAAATGCTCATCTACTCAGGCCAGTTTGGGTTTCTTCACCACACACAGAGCCAACTTGTGGTTTATACAGCAACTTTGCTGAGTGAAACTTAGATACAGTTCAAAATGTCTTGCTAGAGCTTCATACAATTTTGAATTCAGAGTTGTCCTTCTGCTATATTGGTTGCCAACCATGATTAGAGAGTTCAGTCAGCACTGCTATTTTACCCATAGCTGGGAGGAAATGAGACATATTCATACCTCTCTCAAGAGTATTTGTATGAAAGTGAATATAACAATCTTAAACAGTACTAAATCGGCAAAGTCACAATAATCAACAGATATCCCCTATCAGACAAACACTGAACATGATGATGACTAGGTGGTACTTGGTCGAAACAGTGTCTATAATAACATCTATATCTACCAAGACAGGAACAACAGCTCAAAATAATACAAGTAAACCATGACCGATTTCTTACACTGCCTGTGCATCCATAGATAAGCACAAGGGTATTTTCCCAACTCTCATGCAAATCACTATTTTCTCATTATGGAAGACAATCATGGCAATTTTTTTTCTTATTACTCCTCTCTCTGTGAATCAGTATGTACTTAATGTTGAAAACCAATCCTTGGCTTATTTTGACTTACAGCAACAATAAGCAGTTTTACCATAAAAGCAAGGAGTAAAAGTCAGCAATTAATTCCCTACCAACATAAAATGCTAGCTTTCATGAAATAGAGACTTTCCTGCTGCCAAAAGAGGTCTTTAGTGGAAACAGGCACAAGTAAAATGCTTTGGATGTTGTCAGACTGCAAGCTGTAACAGAAGATACAGAACTAATGGCGATAAAAAGGCTCAAGTTTCGCAGGCCAACACACACATGGCCAGCCAGGTGGAAGATAGTTTTAAACGCTGTTAAATGAGGCAGTAATATGAATTAGGTTTTAGTGGCTGGCCACTAGAGAAGGTGGAGAAAAAGAGGAAAACATTGGATAGTTTCAAAAGAATTAAGGCTTGTACTTTGGATGCCAAACAGACTCCTTTTCTCATGCTCCCTTCCCAGTTCCCAAGACTTTTGTGAATCAATCTGTCGGACTGTTGCATGAAGTGGAGAATCAAGAATATGCAGAACAAACTCAAAATAAAAACGGAAAAAAAACATATAACAGCATTAAAAGAGAAATATTTCTTGAGAAGAAGGTGAAAAAAAATGGCTTCTTTAGATGTTGGTCATCTAGTCAACACTTGAATGGAGAAATTTGTATTGCCCTTAATGAAAAAGCAAAAGCAGAGTTAAAATCTGAATAACAAAGGGAAGAGAATGGAGATTTGGGTAAGAACTTTTGGGATTGATGAGAAGAGATCTTTAAAGGGTCAAGAAGAGTAATTTGTGGGGTTTACATAACGATTCTGGAAGCAGATGTTATCATATTTTGTTTTATTTTTAAGAAAGAAATTTTTTTCCCCTCAGGTGATGTGAAAAATATTAAAAGAAAAATATTTTATGAAGCAAGAATAAAAAGTAGGAAGAAAAATTTCATGAAGGAAAGAAATGTAATTTGAAAAATATTAAATGAAAGAAATTCATAATAAAAATTGAAAAAAGAGTGGAGAAAAATAGCAGATGAATGAAGGAAAAAACATTGTCCAAATGAAATGTGCTTTAAGAGAAAGAAAGAAAGAATAAAAAAGAAAAGATTTTGAATGAATGAATGAAACAAAGACACTGTAAAAATATTGTATGAATGAA